CATCAATAAAATAAAAGAAATGAAAATAGATAAAAAGTACAAGTAATAAATAAAAATAAATTGAAAATAAAACAAATATTACATACTTATTGCAGAGAATGTCTTATATTTAATTACCATAATTCACTGTTCATTAAAAAATTTATTACTAGTTAAATAAAGTAGTAGTCATTTAGTTTAGAGGAGTTAACCAAAGTAATGTAAAAATGGTATTTCAATAAATGAAAATGACTAGTAAAGTATTATTTTAGAGTTTTGAAATGAAATAAAGCCAAGCATTTAATCTAAGAACCTTTTAAAAAAATTAAAACAAAAATGAAATGATTTAATAGTTAAATTTTTAAATAACAAAACTGTTAAAATAAAAAAATATAACAAAAATTTGACTTCAGAACGATATAATTTTATGCAAGCTTTCTCACATCAGCAATTAATTGTGCAAAATCTGTATTTTCACATGCAATTTTCATAAATGGATGTTGGAGTAATTCTTCGGAATCAGCCCTATTATCAGGAATAGTTTCCAAACAACGAGCAACGAATCCATTCATATCCCTACTCCATTTTTCTGCATTTTTCAAAGGAGGAATTCCTTTAGTTGTAATTAAGAATAAAGCACGTAATGGTGGGAATTCCATATAGGGAGGATCTCCTTCTGCCATTTCCATTACCATAATTCCTAATGACCAAATATCAATTTTTACACCATAATCATGACCACGAATTAATTCGGGTGCCATCCAATAAGGAGTACCAACTACTGTATTTCTATTTTTTTGTTTTTGATTTAATTGAGCTGCATAACCAAAATCAGCCAGTTTAACATGTCCATCATTAGTAAGTAACATATTATCTGATTTAATATCTCTATGAATACAATGTAGTCCATGAATGAAATTTAATGCTCTTAATGTTTCACGACAGACATAAGCAATTTGTGGTTCAGTCATTTCAATAATATCATGATTTTCTAATATATCAGTGAGACATCCTCCATCCATATATTCCATTGACATCCACATAAGTTTTTTAGCTGGTAAATAGAATGCCTCATAGAATGTAACAACGTTATCATGTTTACATCCTTTCATTAAACTAATTTCAGTTGCAATTAATTTTTCATTGTCATTGTTTACTTCCATTTGTTTCAAAGCAACAACAATTCCATCAGCTTTTCTTTTTGCAGAAAAAACTTCTCCTGAAGCACCTTCTCCAATTTTTTCAAAATCAGAATAAAACTCTCTTGGATCTTGTTCAATTGTAACATCTTTTAATTGAACTTTTTCAACATCTTCTGGTAATGGCTCTACTACAGCCTTAGATTGTTTAGGTTGAGAAATAGGAGCAGGAACTGAAGGAAGGTTAGTTTTATCTCCTTGTCGTTGAATTTGGAAATTTAATACATCATCAACAACATCTTTATTCTTTTTATATTCATCAGTAGTAATACCTCCTTCATTAAGGAATCTTTCCCATTCAGGTGGAAGTCCAATATATCCAAGATTAGGGTCAAAATCTACATGTACTACTTGTGTCATTCCAGATGGTCTAGTAAGACTAGCATCAATAGTATTATTAATAGCAGTAACCCATCTTTCTGCTTGATCTTTACATGGGGCATTAAAAATAAATTGTTTTCCTAATTTCTTTGAGTCTAATTTTAAATAACTATCTCCCATTGAAGCAACTAAAGAAACAACAGTTCTTTGAAGTGGGATTGTTAATATGGGAGTATTCTTAGTTGGACTATCAAACACATATACATCAGTCTTCGTCAAACGTACCCATTTACGTTTCCATGACTTCATGATTCCAGATTGTTTCGAGAGATATCCCTCAAACACTGGATTATTCCAGTTCTAAAAAGTGAACAATTTTCTTTTTTATTTTTACAATAACCTCACAAAAGTAATACTCCTTAAAATATTAATATAAAGTAAAAAACATACCGTTGACATTATCTGAATTTAAAAGTTCTTAGTTTTTTCATCCCCTCCTTTTTTTTATTTCATTCGTTTTGTTAAAAAAATAATAAAAATTTTCGTTTCAAGTTCAACTTTTAATTTTTATACCATTTTTACTCTTTTATTTTTTGTTTCCACGTCTTCATCTATTTAATTCATAGTTCCATATTTATGAGTCAGTTATTCTTTTTTGACTTTTTATTTTTATTTTTTCTTTTAAGATTATATCTTTTTCCATTTCAATTCCTTAAAATATTACTATTTATTTAATATTTTCCTATCACAAGTCATCATCAAAATACCTTGAATAACAATAAAAATAGACGTAGAAATAAATATTTAAATTATAACATATTAAATTAATAATCTCACAACCTTAATAAAAAAAAAGAATTGAATCTTTTTTAATACTTTTTCTTTTTTTTGTCTTTTCTTATATTATCGTTTTTTTTTTGTTTTTAGTTTAACACCAACTAATAAATCCTTGAAATAATACTAATTTCATAACTGAATTTTATTACCTCTAGAAAATGCTTCCATTGTTTTTGAAAAGATTTCAAAGTAATAAACTTTAACTTTCATTTCATTAACAATTTTTTGAACTTCTTCCTAAGTAATAACAGAAATACAATCTAAATAAACATCAAAAAATATCATTTTTATAAATTTCAATATAATAATATAAATATCTCTATTGTTTAAATAAGTTAATAGACAACTATTTGTTAGTTAAAGAAAAACAAGTTATAATATTGTTTGTGTCTTACAAAACTTTTTTTTGAATTTGTTGCCAAACAATTACAAAAAAATATATTTGAAATATATTCATTTATAATTGTAGGTAAACTAATGACATAATTAGAAAATAAATATTTTTCCTTATAATAATAACTATCACAAATCCTTTCTATTAAATGGGGGTTTTCTTATATCTTCATCTGCTATAACACAAACTTTGTAAATTGGATTATTATTATCCCCAATTTTTAGTTTATTTGTTATTAGTATTTGATTTTTCAGATGTTATTAAAGAAACTCTCCTCAAAAACTTTTCTTATTATTTACATTTTAAAAAAATGAATACTTAACCATTTTTATTTAATTAAAAATGACATGTTTCAAATTATATTTTAATTGTTTATTTATTTTTATTACAACTGACTTTTCTCTAAAAAACATTTTCTTAAATTATTAGTTTTATATATTAATTTTTTCTCGATCTTAAACATTTCTCTATTTGACAAATTTGTTTGTTCTATTCTGTAAATATTCTTAATTTGTTATTATCAACAATTTTTGTTCACAAAAATACGTCAAAATATTGACTAATAAAACCCTTAAAAATTTTCAAAGAATTTAAAAAATTTATAAATTAATGAACAAACCTTACGCAATCATTTTTACAGGTGGTCATTATGATGACCACCCTGACTCAATTCAATTTTATCAATCACTCATAGACTTAAGTTCATTTTTTATTTGTGCAGATAGTGGTGCTGATCATGCATCAGAATTTAAAAGAACACCACTTTTTATAGTTGGAGATATGGATAGTGTTAATCAAGAAACAATAAAGCAATTTAAACATGTAAAACAAATTCATTTTAGATGTGACAAAGATTATACAGACACAGAAATTGCTATTGGTAAGTGTATTGATGAAGGATATAAAAATATTGTGTTGTGTGGTGGAATAGGAACTAGATTTGATCATTCTTTATCAAATGTGCTTTCATTAGTTCGTTTGAAAAATGAAGGAGTTGAAGTAAAAATAATAAATTATTATGAAGAAATATTTGTTGCCAAACCCCATACTGAGATAGAAGGAAAACAAGGTTGGACAATTAGTTTTATTCCATTAACACTAACTGTAACAAATGTAACAATTTCTGGTTGTCAATATCCATTATCTTCATACACTTTACAACTTGGTTATTCATTAACAATATCAAATATAATAATTTCTCCAAAAGCAGTTTTTACATTTGATGAAGGTGAGGTTCTTGTTGTACTTACTCGACCCAATGGACTTGTTTAAAGTATAATTCTAATAAATTTAAAAGGTTCAGTTTTAAAAGTTTTATTTTGTTATAATCAAAAATAAGAAAAAAGATCTGTTAATTTCTATGACCAAACAGGTTACAAGAAAACAGTTTAGTAGTGCTTTAAAAGCAACACAACGACTAGGGCGTAGTGCAGCAGAAAAAGCAAGTTCTATATCGAATGATCTTGTTCCACCTTCAAGTCAGAAACTTATATCAAAAAATAAGGTTGTTATTCCAATAAAAAGAAAAAGTTTTAGAGTTGAAGGAAAAGAAAATCAAGAACATCAAACAACTCCCTCTCAAGGGATTTGTGAAGAAAAGAAAATGGAAGAAGAAAGTGCATTTATTGTTGAACCTGAAAATGATTTATCAGAAAGTTATATTAATGAAATATTAACTCAAAACATTGAAGTTGAAGAAAAGAAACAAAGTAATGAAGAAGAAAAAACAATAATCAATGAAGAATTATTAAAATGTGATAGTACTCAAAGCAGTCAAAAAGAAGAACAAATCTTTAAAGTTCCTACAATTGAGAAAAGTATTATAGAAAGAGAAAAATTAACTTTAAAAGATATACACCCAGAAGTAAAAACTGATGAACTATTTTTTAAAGATAATGTCATGGAAGAAGAACTTACAGAATCAAAAATTAATCAAATACTTGATATTTGTTGTAAAAGATATCATTCTGGAGTAAGTTCTATTCATTGTATTGATATATTGGATAGGATTAAACTTTCATTATCAATTGACCCAACGAATCAAACAATAAAAAGATTAATAGAAGTTGCATATTGTCCTCAATTTAGAAACGAAGTTCTCAAAGAGGCAAAGTTTATTGATGGTTTTAATAAATTAATAAAATCAGAAGAGAACAATTCAAAGAAAAATGATATTGAATTATGTTGTGAAGGAAAGACATGTGGAGGGAGTTTAATTGGTATTTTATTTGAAATGTTAAAAAATGATAGTAAAAAGAATTATGTAATAGAAATGTTTGAAGGAATATTTGCTTCATATCCAGTTGTATTATCACAAATATATCAATTTATTGTTTTTAAAAGAAGTAATGGATTAAGTGATAAAAGTGTTATTAAAATATTAGAATCAAAAACAATGTGGGGATTTGATTGTAGTCCAATAAATAATGAAATAGAAAGGATTATCTGTTCTTTTTGTAATAAGAAAGAAAATGATGAAGATTTTGATTTTATGTTAAATGGTGTCTATGACATTATTATTTCTGAGAGTATTGAATATGTTAATCAAAATGTGTTATATCAATTAATTGAAGCATTGCTTAAACTTGTTAAAGATATTAAAAATTTAAAAGAGTTTGTTTTATTTCTTTTAAATAGATAAATGAAAATGGATAAATTCATTTGCAATAGAATTAGACATATAATAATAGTTTCAAATATAATTGTTGAATTATGGAAAAATAATGATTGTATATTTACAGTTGAAAATCAAAAAGACATAGTTATATTACAAGTTGAATTAAAATCTAATTATGTTAACAATGAATCTATAGATGAAGTTATTGATAGAATAGAAGAAATAATGAGAGATTTTAGAAGAGATATTTGATTGAATGTTTTTTTATTTGAGGATTTAAAATTTATATTTTACTATTTAAAAAATAACATAAAATAAACTAATAAAATTTATTTTTTATTTCTTTTAATGGAACAATTTGTTGATAAAGTTGCATTACAAATAGTTTCATGTAAAAGTTTTACGATATTATCACATGGATATTTATTACCAGAAATATCATTAAGTGCAGTACATAAAGATATGAAACTTTACTTATCACATAACAAAAGTATCCCAGCTATTTTTCTTATTAATGCACCTCCTCATATTTTTCATCATTTTAAATTATATTCTGAAGGTTTAACATTTGATAGTTCAACAATAAAAGAAATAAAAAAAAGAAAATCAGAACAAACATTACTTAATTTTATTCGGTCAATAGACTATAGTGGAGTTGATTCATCTTCAATTTCTCAGAGTTGTGTATCAGAATTAAATCAATCAAGTATTGCTTCTTCAAATGAAGATATTTATATTCCATTATTATCTATTGATTATAAACTAAGCATTGAAAAAAGAAAAGAGTTATATAAAAATGGAGGAATATTTTTTGTTACAACTCGTATCCTTATTTCTGATCTTATATCAAATGAATTCAATTGGAATAGTTGTATTTTTTATATATTTGATATTGAAGATATTCAAAAAAGATTTAATATTTCTTTTATAGGACAAGTCTTTTTAACATTAACAAAAAATAAAGGACTTTTACGTTGTTTAACACAAAAAACACACCAATTAGTTGGTATTCCTAAAATTTATGAAAGAATAAAAGAAATATTTAGAATAGATAAAGTATTCTTCTTCTCTTATACATTTCCTGAATTAATTAAAATAAGAAATGAATTTAAATATTTTAATGTAGTTCAACTTAAATTACAAATGTCAGAATCAATGAAAATCATTGAACAAGGAATTTTTGAATCAATGAAATATATTGCAATAGAAATACGTCATCGTTTAAAAATACAATCAAATGTATTACCTGATTCAATGTTATTATTTGGGGAATTTGAAAAAAGAATTAGTAATTATAATAAAGGTATAGATTATGACTCTGATATTGAGTCAATGTGTATTGATATTAAAACACTTCGTCATTTAATGTTTTCATTATATATTCTAAATCCAGTTTTATTTTTTATTCAATTAGAAACGATGAAATTACTTGTTTGGGGAGAAGATTCAATGTTTTGGTTAGGAAAGAAAACAATGGAACTTGTAATTGAAACAACAAAAGCAAGACTTTGGAATCAAGATAAGTTTTTAATAGAAAAACAACCAAAACATATTGAAATGATGAATATTATTAAACATGAAAATCAAAAAGGAAATGATGTTGTTATTATTGTAAGAAATCAACAAACCAAACAAGAACTAATTCATTCATGGAATGTTGATGATGGAACACTTTTAGATATTTATCAACAATGGTTTGATAAAAAAAATGAATTAGAAAAACATATAAAAGAAATTCATTTAAAGTATAGGACTGATGCTAATTCAAAAATAAAAAAATGGAAATTTGTACAATCAGAAGGAATGAATTTAAATCAAAAAAATGAAGGAGATAATGGAGAAGTGATTGGTATAGATGATAAAGAGGATGTTAAACCAGAAGATGAAATTATTTTTGGATATAATAGTGTTATGTATGAAATGTCACAAAGATTTTATTCAACACAACAAATGATTATAGAAGAAACACAACAAAAATTAAGTCAAATGAAAAAGAAAAATGAACCATTTAATTGTAGAGAATATAAAGGAAGAATTAATAAAATTATAACACAAAATGAAATGAATAATGAACTGTTTTGGGATAAACCTAAAGCAATTATTTTATATAATTGTTCATTGTGGGTTACAAGAGTATTAGAAACTTATGTTCATTCAAGAGATGAAGAAATTAAATTATATTTACTATTTTATGAAAAGTCCTATGAAATGATTAAATATCAACAAACGATTTTAAGAGAGAAAAATGCTTTTGAACAATTAGTTAAAACTGAAATGAAAAGTAAAGAATTAAATATTGACCAAAAAGAAATAGAAGTTATTCCTATTCAAGATAGAGTTAAAACAATTATAGTTGATATTAGAGAATTTAGATGTGAATTACCTTTTCATTTATTTAATCAGAATTATAAATTAATACCAAAACAATTAGAAATTGGCGATTATATTTTATCTCCAAATATTTGTATTGAAAGAAAATCTGCTATAGACCTTGCTGGTTCTTTAAAATCAAGAAGAATTAATAAACAAATTCAAAATATGTTTAGAAAATATAATACTGTTGTATTACTTATTGAATGTTATTCTTCTGAAGGATTTGAACAATATGATAGTTCAAAAACTGAACAAGTATTAAAGTCTTATACTAATATATTCACACAACTAATTACTGAATTTCCACAATTAAAAATTGTTTGGTCATATTCTCCTCAAATGACAACTCATATTTTTAATGATTTAAAACAAAATGATTCGGAACCAACTGAAGAAGATTGTAAAATGATTGAAAATGATGATGATTTAACGAATTGGAATGCTCTTGAAGTACTGAAACGAATGCCTGGAATTACTACTGACCAACTTTATGACATGGAACATAATCCTAATCTTACGTTTTCAAAACTCATACAAATGAGTGAAGAACAATTAAAAGATATACTCAAAGAAGATAAGAATGTTAAACTCTTCCATCATGCTTGTAATCTTCAATTTAAATAAAACCTTTTTTTAAATTTTAATTTTAAATATATTTTAAACTTATAATGAATAAATTAATTTTGAAAAATAAACTTTCATTATTTATTATAAATCTTAACAATAGATACTTTTATTGATATGGTTATTGAAAGAAAAAAATAAATAAAATGTATTGATTAATTTCTTTTTAAAATATTACTTAATAAATAATAATCAATACCTTTTCTTTTCTACATTTAAATAAAAATTAAATCAAAAAGCACTTTGCTTATTGTTTGTTAGCTGGAATAACT